TAGGAATTGAGTTGAAAGATACGACAGTGTATCTGTTTCTAAAGATTTCCATAATTGTTTCCTACTTTATTACATGTATGGAAAGTTCATCTTCTTAACTTGATCACACACCCTTTATGGATCGTGTCTTTTTTTTTCAAATAGCACACAGACTCAAAGCTGTGCTCAATAAATGCTTTTTAATGGACACATTTTATGGAGGACCATATGAATCAAGTTCGAGTTTGATAGAATAGTATTTCTCTGTCCAAGTCTATTAAATACAGTATTTATCCAAAGGATTTCAAATTTCATAAGAGTTCTTGCTAATGGAACAAGAAAATATGTGCAAGTACTAGAAAACAGCATGAGAAGAATTCCCTCCCTCAAGCACTAGTTACTCATAATACTTTATCATGTATTCCCTGACAATAATGAAACCTCACATTTGCATGGCAGTAATTTACGAAATGCTTTCCCCACAGATCTGGGAGAGAGACAATGCAAGAATTGTTATCCATTTTTTTTCACAAAGTAAGTAACTAAGGTTCAGATACATTTTAAACTTACTCTTGGTCACACAGTTAGTAAGCATCCGAGCTGAGATTCTGGTTCAGGTCACCTAATAATTCCTAGGGGCTAGGAGTTCTTCTCATGGTGTCACACTACCTTCTCAGTTTTGTGGTTTTTGAGGTCTCAGGGATCTAGGACGGGCTTCTAGCATATGGACTCAACACATATTTATGCATCAATGGGTTAGAGATATACCAATAAACCAATGAATTTCTGTTACACTTTCTAATATAGCCCACAGGAGGATACACATTTCTTTAAAGCATATCAGAATCTTGAAGGAAGGGAGGAGATAGAACAATTCCTCCCTCTAAGGGCTTTTTAGATATCTCCAGTTAGTACAAACTGAAAATGAACTTCCTGAGAGATTTAGACTGAACCTGGTTCCTCCTTATACTCTGTTCACATTCCAAGCATGACCACTGTGACAGTCCTGAGAGTATCAAAGTAGGTTTGAGGTTTGTCAGGTTAAATATGGCTTTTTGTTGTTGTTGTTGTTCAGTCATTTCAGTTGTATCTGACTCTTTCTGACCTGATTTGGGATTTTCTTGGCAAAGACCCTGGAATAGTTTGCCACTTCCTTCTCCAACTCATTTTACAGATGGAGACATGTAGCTAGTAACTGTCTGAGGCCAGATTTGAACTCAGGACTGACTCCAGGCCCAGCACTCTATCTACTGAGCCACTTAACTGCCCTTAAATATATCTAGAAGATTAAAAAAAGACTGACTGCCCTGTTTTATATAACTGGACATTCATGCCTACGAGTCATGAATACATGACTACATGTCATGACTACTGGTCATGAGTTGCCAGAGGATCCCATTCAAGGGGATCATAACGTCTACTGAGAGATCTGAGCTTTCCAGGATATTTCTGTCGCAAGGAAATTCTTATTTTAGTGACATCTAGATCTTGTACTATCCAGGTTGTCTAAAGACTCAGGATTCACTCTGACTTCTGATTTGCCAATTAAATTTCCTATTCATCTGGATGGAAGCATGGAAGGAAGATCCAGGCACATGCCATGTGGAATACTTCTTTGTAGCTCACTTTAGGGGCACACCCAATTCCCCTGAAGATTGCCTCTAAACTAGTTCTAGTTTGGCCCTTATTCAGGAAACATTCCATTGCTCTGTCTATGCAAACTCCTTTTTTCTTTTCTTCCATTATTTTTGCTGCCTCTACTCCAATTCCTCTAAGGTAAAGATGCCAATTTTAAAGGCCATTTTATTTTTCTTTAGAATGTCTTTGTTGTTCTTGTATATTTATTTTTAATTCTCTCACTCCTGTGGTTAAAAAAATACAAATAATGAGTCACTGAGCAATACGCTAGAAGCAAAGGAAGGAGCTTTGGTTTCTTGTTCAATCATTGCCTTACTGTGTGATGACTCTGGATCAGTCCCTGAACCTAACAAATTACTTTTATTCATTTGTAAATGGAGATGCAAGGAAATCTGGAGGCACTTGTTAAAAATCAGATTTCACAAAGCTATGTTGATGTTCCTTCATAATTGACTCACAGAAGCAGAATTATTCAGTTTTGTTCATATTGATTTTTCCAATTAAAAATTACTTCCTAGTTTCACACCTATTTTAAACTTTCCATCCTTTAAAATTTTTTTTTATTTCACTTTCTCTAATTGAACAATGTTGGTATGAAGCTCATAGTGACCTTCATATATGTATGTATATATGTATGTTTGTATACACACACACATATATATATGAAACTACTGCCCAGAAGCAAATCCTGATGTAAAACTATCAGCACATTACCTTGAGCATCTTTCCAAGTCAAGCCTAAACTGAATGAAACAGGGAGAGGGGAGGGACTTACCTTTCCCTGCTTATCTCTCTTTTAACCCAGCTCAGAGAAATGAGCATGGACACATGTGTTTCTGTTTGGAGGTTAGTCTTCAGTTACAGGTACTGGAGGGGATCCCTATGTGCCTGGGTGACAGTGGTGCCAGGATTGCCAGTGGGGTGGTGCAGCTAACCAACCAGGGTGCCTCTACTTGAACCTGAGATAGGTTTGGGACTTGGAACTTCAGACTACACTCTAAGGGAGTTGAGCTAAACTGTGACTGTAATCCCCATTCCCTCTCCAGAGACTCACATGGTACAAGAGAGGAGGATGATCATGCCTCTCATGAACTGGGGGCAATAATTTTGTATATTTGTGATTGTATCTTTGAAAGTAAATATAAAAGCTCCACTCTTACATATATACAGTAAGTGAAAAGGCTTTCACAAACTGTGAAGCTCTATACAAACAGAACATTATTATGATCATCTGTACTAGGATGTACTTATATACGTATATATATTAATGATAATATATATCTGGATAGACGTTACTTAATGGGCTATTTTTGACACCTGCGATTTAATATATGAAACAATGGCATTGTGATTGACAATGATGTTAATATTGATAAAAATTATTCAACTTACATAGAACCTTACCATTAACAACTATATATTCATAACCTACTTTGATTCTTAAAATATTTTTGTGATATAGGCAGCAGTATTCTTATCCCTATTTTAAAATAGGAGGAAACTGAGGCTCAGAGTAAATACTTTTTCATAATTACTAGCTTGTAAAGACAGGATACAAGCCTGAATCTTCTGATTGTAAGGCTAGTCTACTTTTAATTGTTACCTTGCCTTTTAAATAGCACATAAATTTTAAATTCAGGTAAAGGAAAGCTTTTATGTAGAGTGGCTCTCTCTTAAAGGCATGAGAAAAATAAGATGATATTTAGAAAACCTCTCATACTTAAAAGAATAACAAAACCCAGTTCTCTATATATAGTAGAAATGAGGCCTTTATCAGAGACACTGGCTTTAAAAATTGTTTCCCAGCTTTCTGCTTCCCTTCTACTCTTGGTTACATTGGCTTTGTTTGTATAAAACCTTTTTAATTTAATATAATTTAATATAATCAAATTTTAATTTAATATAATCAAATATAATCAAAATTATCCATTTTGCATTTCATAATGTTCTCTATCTCTTGTTTGGTCATAAATTCTTCCATTCTTCATAGATCCGATAAGTAAACTATTCCTTGCTCTCCTAATTTGCTTACAGTCTCATGCTTTATATCTAAATCATGTACCTATTTTGACCACATCTTGGTATATGCTATAAGATGTTGGTCTATGCCTAGTTTCTGCCATACTGTTTTTTAGTTTTCCCAACAATTTTTGTTAAATAATGAGTTCTTATCCCAGAAGTTGTAGTCTTTGGATTTATCAAACAGTAGATTACTATAGTCATTGTCTACTGTGTCTTATATACCTAACCTATTCCACTGATCCATCACTCTTTTTCTTAGCCAGCACCAAGTGGGTTTGATGATGGCTGCTTTATAATACAGTTTTAGATCTGGTACAGCTAGGCCACCTTCCTTTGCATTTCTTTTCATTATTCTCTTCATATTCTGGACCTTTTGTTCTTCCAGATGAATTTTGTTATTATTTTTTCTAGCTCATAAAATACTTTTTGGTAGTTTGATTGGTATGGCACTAAATAAATAAATTAGTTTAGGTAGAATTGTCATTTTTATTATATTAGCTCGGCCTACCCACGAGCAACTGATATTTTTCCAATTATTTAGATCTGCCTTTATTTGTGTGAAAAATGTTTTGTAATTGTGAGCAGGTAGACTTCAGAAAAAAAACTGGAAAGACATTAACTGATACTGAGTGAAGTGAGCAGAACCAGAACATTGTACATAGTAACAGCAGCATTGTGTGATGACCAACTTTGATAGACTTAACTCTTCTCAGCAATACAAGGATCTAAGATAATTCCAAAAGACTCATGTTGGAAAATGCTATATGCATTCAGAGAAAGAACTATGCAGATCGAAGCATACTATTCTCTCATTCTCCCTCTCTGTTTCTCTGTCTCTCTCTGTCTCTGTCTCTCTCTGTCTCTCTCTCTCTCTCTCTGTCTCTCTCTCTCTGTCTCTTTCTCAGTTTTCCCCTTTGGTTCTAATTCTTCTTTACAACGTGACTAATGTAGAAATATATTTAATATGATTGTACATATATAGCCTATATCAGATTGCATGCTGTCTTGGGGTGGGGGGAGCATAGGGAGGGGGGAGCAGACAGAGGGGGAGAAAATTTACAATTAAAAATCTTATAGAAGTGAATGTTGAAAAATAAAAACAAATAAATAAAATAATAAAAAAATTAACCTGAAAAAATAATACCAAAACCCTATACAGTGGAGAGGATATAAAAATAAACTGAATGAAAGTGGAAACCTCAAAAGTCAACCAATTTAGGGGTAGGAATAATGAGATTGTATGTGTGTGTGTATGTGTGTGGTTTTGTGTGTGTGTGTGTGTGTGTGTGTGTGTGTATACCTTTGAATCTTAGTCATCTTTAGCAAAATCCATGAAAGGAGAACCTCCTTTATTTTCTCACCTCTGCTCTGTGTTAAAAAGTGCAAAGATATGCTTGCTAGACATAAAGCTCTTTTCCACATCTCGAACTTTCAGGTTGTCCAAAGGAAGCATGTATTTCTTTTCTTTTTCCTATGGAAAAAAGCACAAGGAAAAAATTTGTTCTAATAAAACTTGTTTGACTATGCCAACAGCAACATATCCCCAGTTATTTGATTACATTACCTTGATACCTAAATACAGCTACTAAGGAGTAAAGAAACACTTGAGATAGAAGTCTAATGATCCTTGACACGTGGCTTGGAATGATAGGGGGAAGGGAAGAATAGGATTTGGGAATGGAAAAAACACATGGCCCTCCATCCTTTCCCCCTTTTAGTGGGTCCCCTCAGATGTTTTAAAATGTTAGTTTGATATTAAGAATTTAACCATCTGTTAATATTTAAAAGAAATGTTCTGGTCCTAATTCAATGAGAAACACCAGATGGGTTTCATTTCAAATTTTATTTGCAGCATAAGCAGTTTTGATAGCCAGTGCTGGCAATGACTGGAAACACGAGGACAACAGTATATGGTACCCCCTGTACACTCAAATACAGTTTTTCTTTAGTTGGGTCAGAAATGAAATGTGAGCTCGGTACATTATTTGTCAAAATGGCTGACATATTTAGAAAAATAGAACCCTGTACAAGTAGACTGAAGCTAACTAGAATCAATTCTCTTTTGAATAAATCATTCTTAGAAATTAAGAGAGGGGAATGCACAATGAAGAAGTAGCTTGCCAATGCTACAAAGTTGGTTTTATAAAACACAATGGTAGTTGACAAGACTTTTTAAAATTTTAAATTAATTTAATTTTTTAATTAACAAAAATCTATTTTCTCTCCCTCCAGGGGAAAAGAAAAGAAAAAAGAAAATTCTTGTAACAAATATGAATATTCAAGTAAATCTGATTCCTGCACTGGCCATGTCCAAAAAAAGATGTCTCAGTCTGTACCCTGAGCCTATCATCCCTCCGTCAGGAAACAGGTAGCAAGGGTATTCTAAAAATGTGGTTGATCATTATGCTGATCAGAATTTTTGAGTGTTTCTAAGTTCTTTGTCTTTACAATGTTACTGTTCTGGATCCATTTATTTCACTCTGCATCATTTCACACAAGTTTTCCTGGGTTTTTTTGAAAGTATTTCTTTTATTATGACTTCTAGTATAATAGTATTCCATTATATTCATATACCATAATTTCTTCAACCATTACTCAATCGACAAGTACCTCCTTATTTTTCAGTTCTTTGCCACCATAAAAATATTGGCTGTTGTAAATATTTTTGCTAGATGTTTCCTTTTCCCATTTCTTTGATGTTTGGTTGGATATAGGTCTAATTGCTGCATATTGCTGGGTCAAAGAATACACACAGTTTAATAATTTTGGGGAAACACTTTCAAGTGGCTTTCCAGAATGGCCCTAGTAATTCACAATCCACCAATAATGTACTAATGTGCCTGTTTTCCCATAGCCTCTCCAAAATTTGCCATTTTTTGGTCAGCTTTATCCATCTGAAGGCTATGCATTTTAAAATTATCAGTCATTTGGAGCATTTTATTCATATAGATATAGAAAGCTTGGATTTCTTCCTTAGAAAACTGGTAGTTCATATTTCTTAATGATTTATCAATCCTAAAAATTTGAACCAGTTCCTTACATATCTTATAAATGAAATCTTTATCAGAGAAATTTGCTGCAAGGACTTTTTGGCTTTCTTTGTGTGAAAACTTATATTTTATGTAATCAAAATTATCCATCTATCTTCTTTGATCCTCTCTATCTCTTGTTTAGATATGGAGTCTTTCCCTATCCATGGATCTTAAAGCAATTTCTTCCTTGATCTTCTAATTTGTTTATAATGTTACTCTTTATGTCTAAGCAATACATCCACTTAGAGCTTATCTTGGTATGCAGTATGAACAGTAAGAAATTTCAGAAAAATTGCCTTTAGAGTATTATTAGCTCAGGCCCATAGCTACCACAAATGCCAATTCCTAACTACCCCAGAGAAACAAGTAGGCAAGAACTAAATATTCATTACAGGAACCCTCATAATTGCCAGTTCCATTTTGGATTGGCCTTTGATGAACCAGAAATATTGGAGAAAATCTGAGATTTTATCTAATTCAGAGGCTTAGCCAGAACAAGAATGGAATTTAAGGATGTCAGTACAAGATGAACTTCATTGAGGTATTATAAATGCCATTTTATAATCGCTGTATTATAATCTTTTAGAAGGGGTATTTCCATATTATCATTTACCCCTTATGCTGATTTAGAAGAACTTGGTTACCACTTCTACCCAACCAATGATAATGTCTATTATTGTATCACACCTTTATTACTTTTCACATATATTATCTGTGTATATAACATTAATTTCTACATTATTCATAAATATCTAAAAAACACATGCCCTGTTCTAAAAACTTCTGACCTCTAAATGTATTTTGGTTTTGTAATATTTTGTTATACTGTCAGACCACCTTACTGAGAATCTTTGAGAAATGTCAATTACAAGCCAACACATATTTGTTAGTACCTAGTTTGTGAAGACAGTAATCTTGTCTCTCTCAAGTCTTCTGTTCCATGGATTAAATAACCATAATTCCTTCAATTCGTCCTCAAATCACATAATCCTAAGAACTTTCACCATTCTGGCTTACCCTCTTCTGGAAATTTTCTAGTTTATCATAGTCCTTCCTAAAAATACAGCTTCCAAAGCCGAAGACAATATTCCAAATGGGGTCTGACCAGGGCAGAGTACATTGGGACTATTACAATCTTATTCCAATAAGCTATGTCTCTCTTAACACAGCCTAAGTTTACATTCTTCACTGTTACATCACACTATTGACTAATATCAAGCTTGTGGTCCACTAGAGAGAGCTCAGGTTCACCACTCATGCCTCCCTCTTCTGTCTTAAAAGATCTGAAAACTGGACAAAAAAACCTCAGTAACCTGAAGTAGTTCTAGCCACCCATCTTCCTGCACTTACAAACATGTGAATGTCATATAGCATACGGATTCCATGCGGACACTCTCCAGGGAATGACACTAGATCTGTTGCTCCTTATTTCTAAATGAAGCAGGGAAAGTACATCAACAATTGAAGAGAACTTGCTGAAATGTCTAAAAATATGGGAAGAGGCTAGTAGCAGCACTTCATGTTACTACCCCAGGAGCAGAAATGATTGGGATAGAGGGGAGAAACTGCTTGGTGATCATGTGGTAAGATAAACCTGGCAGAGAATGACTTTCCAGAAGAGAAAGAAGGGGAAACAAAAATAGGAAAGGGTCAGGCTTATGTACAAAGAAGCAAACTTTTGCAGTAAAATTTTTTTTTGTATAATCATAAATACTATTTTAGCAAACATAAAGCTATCTTTAATTAGAATAATACAAGTAAAATAGACCATTTAAACACTATACGGACTCTCTGGGTCCAAATGCCTTTCAATACTCGTGTGACTATTTCAGAACAAAACTATTAAGAGGTAAAAGCCTGCAATGAATGAAAATTTATCCATTTCATAATCAAATGAAAATTGCTTGGGACCCCACAAATATTCTTCAATTGGACTTTTTGAATGTCCTAACTTTAAGCAGCTGGAATTATTTTTTTTAATGTTCTACCCTATTCAAGTGTTTGAAATGATGGATTTGCCTTTTAATGGGAAATCTGCATTTCATTGTAAAGATAGAACAAAATGTTCTTGGCTCACTCTCCACAGAAGCAGGCTTTTTTTTTTTTTGTACTGTACATTTAGCATATAGCAAAGACAATCAAGATTATTTCTTTTAGGGAAGAAACACCAGAAACACAGAGGAACATAAAAACACAGCCATTATTTTTTAAAGTACTGAGCACCATTGTATTAAAATTTTTGGAGGTGACATTATTAAGCTAATATTAAAGAAAATAAGCTTATATAATTTCTATTGTTAATAAAAAGAAGACAAACTTATTAAAGTTCAATGAGTAAGCAGTAACTAGTTAAAATGTAGTATGAGTATCTCTCAAATTCTTGCCTTTTTGGAGGGTATGAATATTTTCTACTCAAAGGGCACCTTTAATTTGAGATAGAGAAAATAAAAGATGAAGTATTCTTATGACCTTCATTGTCAAAACAGTAGTGAAAATTATCAGTAGCTTACTAAGATATCAGTTACTTCGCCTTGAGGTAATTCCACTTGCTTACTAGATATTTCCACTAGAATTTTCCACCATCCTCTCAAGATAAACAGGCCATCATTTTGCACTGTAATTCTCTTCACTACCCACATTCTAGGGCAGCTAGGTAGCACAGTGAATAGCATGCTGGGCCTGAAGTCAGGATGACTCATCTTCTTGAGTTCAAATTTGACTTCAGACACTTACTTGCAGTGTGACCCTGGGCAAGTCATTTAACTTTGTTTACCTCAGTTTTCCCATTTGTAAAATTAGGCTGGAAAAGGAAATGGCAAACCACTCCAGGATCTTTGCCAAGAAAAACAAACAAAAAAAGGAGTCACAAAGAATGGGACATGACTGAAAAATCACTAAACTACTAAAACACCCACAATCTACCTTAAGCCATTTCCTTTTCTTGATTCTCTTTTTTATCCATGTAATTTTTATTCTTGAAGTCACTTAAAGTTGGAAACTCCAGTCACTCAATGAGCGTTTATTAAAGAATTCACAATGTGCTAGATAGACAATGTGCTAAGTACTGAGTATACAAAGAAAGGAAAAAAAATTCTCTGCCCTCAAGGAACACATATTCTAATGAGTGAGAAAATATATGAAGAACTAGGTATACAGAAGAGCTAGAGAGAGTAGATAGAAGATATCATGGGAGAGGAAGGCATTTATTACTTGGGAACTAGGAAAGGCTTCCTGTCCAAGGTAAGATGTGAGCCTGGAAGAAAGCTAGGGAAACAAAGAGGCAGAAGACAGAAGGATGCAGAACTTTCTAGACATGAGGGACAGCCATGGCAAAAGCATATAGGAAATTATGTGTTATGTATTTTGACCAGATGAAAGAATTCAGGAGGAAGAGTAAGAATGTTCAATGAGTCTAGAAAGATAGGTGGGGGAAAGTTTG